ATTTCTGAACAGACATTGTAGAAAGCACATAGCATAATTCTAATACTGTTTTGTCTCAAATGGTTTTGGCTTTTAAAAAATATATTCACAGCCCAGCTAGTGTTGCTCAGTGGTTGAACGTCAACCCATGAACATGAAGGTCATGGTTTGATTCCCAGGTAGGGCACATGCTCGAGTTGTGGTCCTTTTTTTAATTTTTTTAAATGTATCTTTACTGATTTCAGAGAGAGGAAAGGAGAGGGAGAGAGAGATAGAAACATCAATGATAAGAGAGTCACTGATCGGCTGCCTCCTGCATGCTGACTGGGGATCGAGCCCACAACCGGGAATCAAACCCTGATTGCCTGGATCCTAGGTCAATGCTCAACCACTGAGACAGGCCCGGCGGGGCGAGCTGTGGTCCTTATCCCCAGATGGGGGCATGCAGGAGGCAGCTTATTGATGATTCTCTCTCACCATTGATGTTGCTATCTTTCTCTCCCTCTCCCTTTTGACATCAATAAAAAACATAAAAATTAAGAGTAAAAATAAAAATACATTCACAGATTTAAAAGGCTAAACCACTAAACTAAAAAGAATATTCAATACCAGTATATATCCTTCTTAAAAATCTTGAAGGTGCAAAAACTTGTAGTGTAAGAACATGCCATTCATAATCTTTTCCTCAAAAAGTGATTACAAAATGACTGAAAGATCTTGGTCTAGATATCGTTCTTCAATGACCCAAGACACCAGATATACATCATTATCTACACAAATTTACATTTTTCTGAAGATTTAAGGCTCATTGTTTAGGGCCTCAAATCATTCTAAAACTCTGACACTTCAATACAAAAGTTTTACTGCCATTGATAATTATTTTAACTAAATAATGTTCCATGGTAGTTATATAATTAGCAAAAATATCTGTTTATAGCTTTATAAGTGAAAAGATTATTTTAAAGAAATTATAGTAAATATAGTGAAATTTGCCCTGGTCAGTGTAGCTCAGCTGGTTGGAGTGTCTTACTGTACACGGAAAGGTGGCAGGCAATTCTGTTACAGGGCAGTGAAAAGCTAGTAAAATACCAGGGCAAATGGAATAGGGAAACTGAAACATGAAAGTTAAAACAAGGCCAAATAGTGTGAGCAATCTGTAGCCAGCTGGTAAATTATAGGCCCTTTATCTTCCCCAGCCAAGGACACTTGACAGCAAATGGTTAAAGGCTTCCCTAATAAGAAGATGCAGGAAAGGAGGGGGGAAGGGAAAATTTAAAAAGAGCAGTTGTATTTCCTAAGCAGAAAAGCCAGCAGTCTCAAGGCTTGGCAAGATAAAATTGCCAGGTGCTTCGCATGATTTTATTTTTTTTTAAAAGAATTAATCTATACCAAGGTATTCAGCAGAGGAATTTTGAACAGGAGGGTATGTAACGCCTCAAACCCCACACAACTCACTCTTCAGATTACCTAGGAGCCTATCTGTGCTTCATACGTCAAATGTATAGATTTGCTTGCTATGCTTCTTTAATAAATTTGCATGTTTTACTTTCTTAATAAGTTACCTTCTTAATAAATTGGCTTTATCACAGCACAATCAGGGTCTCTCATTTAAGCTCATTTACATGAGAAGACAAAAACCAGGGTGGGGACAGCCCTCTCCCTCTGACTCAGGGGGCTGTACAATAACACCTCTCTGGTGTCTGAGAGGTGCCTGTAACAGTTAGATTCCCAGTCAGGGCACATACCTAGGTTGCATGTTCAATCCCCGGTCAAGGTGCTTAGGGGAGGCAACCAATGTTTCTCTCTCACATCAATGCCGCCAACCCCACCCCGGTCTAAAATTAATAATTAAAAAAAAAAGATGGTGGCTTCAGCCGTTTTGAATGAATAAATAAATAAATAAATGTACGTGTGTGTGTGTGTGTGTGTGTGTATAAATGTTTGTGCTATCTTTGTAATATATAATAGATATTTTCCTTTGAGTATTTTTATCTTTCTCTTGCCCTGGAATTCCCAAGCATGTAGAGTCAAAGTTTTAGACTTTTCACAAAAGACTGATCTTGTCTGAATATAGGTAAGTACACTGAATTCCAAGAGAGACTATTTTTTTTTCATATAAGAACAAATCATAAAAGAACAATTATCAACTAAATTGGAAATTCATTTTAAACTTTACATATAAATATAAACATGTATGTTAGGATTATATTCTTAAATAGCTTTAGAACGGTGTTTGAAAAAGCCATCTTTATTGGTTTTATTTTATTAAATTTTGTAAGTAAATGAAAAGGGTCAATAAGATGAAATCATATATCCCTATTCCCAATAATCCTTTTTAATTGGTAATAATTCACAGGCATTTAACACCTGACCCACATAAACTGCCAATGTCCATTCACTATAATAACTGAATGTTGATGAGAATTGAGATGAGTTTTTAATGTTGAAACTTTGTACACTGCAATAATATCACAAACATAAAGCCTCTTTAAATTGCACTATTCCTTTTTCAAATTTTTTAAATTCTCTTAAATGTAATGGTTTCATTATAATTGTTCTAATGTTGTTAGGAGAATATTAAGTAAACTATTAAAAAGAAACAAAACATATACAAAAGATTAGATAGTAAAAGCTTGAAACCAAGCCATTCCATATAAAGACTAAATTAACTTGGGGAGGAAGATGAACAAAATAAGAAGAAATGAATGATAGCACTACATGTGTCGTTGCTTGCCTATAAAAATGAAGACCCCATATTAGTTATCCCATTTTTTAGTAAATGTAAAAAACTAATAACTACACAAATTGACAAAAGTATCTTGTTGTTTCTTTCACACAATTAAAAGCCAAATATGAAACAGGGTAATGGAAGTAAGTGTGTACTAACGTTAAGTATATGTACAGAAAAAAAATTAACATAGCAGGTCTGAGACTGCTATAGTTAAACATGCCTGCTTACAAGTCTGGTCCTTACCTGGCATTTGAGACTTGGATTTTGAGAGAGTCCCCATGATTATCTGACTGATAGGAATGTTCACTGCATATAAACTGTTTGTATAAATAATGTGGTTTATGCTGAACACCTGCTTTTCTTTGGGAATTCTAGAATTTTGGTGTGTGCTAGGCACTGACTTCTGATAAAAATCCTGGTCTGCTAGACTCAAAATGACCTTCCTTAGAAGATAACATTTCATTTATGATGTCACAACTTATTGGCAGAGGAATTAAGGGTGTATGTCAAACTCCAGTGGGAGAGGGCTCTAGGAAGCCTGCACCTGGTTTCCTTTGGACTTTACCATATGCACACGTTCCCTTTGCTAATTTTGCTTCATATACTCTCACTATAATAAATCATAGCCACAAGCAAGATTATACGCTGAGTGCTGTGAACTATCCTAGTGCATCACAAAACTTGAAGGTAGTTTTGAAAATCCCCAACATGATATAAAAATATTATATTTAAAAAATTTATCTTTATTGTTGAAAGTATTACAGATGTCCCACCTTTTTTCCCCTCCTCCCCAATCCCATCCCTTCCCCAGGCTAATTTTGAAATATGAAGAAAACTGCCTATACCATGACACTGAAACCTTAGATAAATTTCTTCTTTGGAGCTCCAGGTGTTAATATTTAATGATGAATAATCAGTTATTCTACTAACCATTATAAAAAACATAAAAATGAATGAATAAAATGTAGTCTGGATTTCCTATACACAAAAGGAATTCTTACTGCTCATCAGGCCAGCAGAAAGTGGATGACAGGAGGGAGATTTAAGAATTTGGAACATGAATATAGCAATGTGCTATTTATGAAAAATTAACAATTGAATGGATCCTAACATCTTCAGTGAAGACTTTACAAAACATTATAACCATTAATTAAATCTCTTATGTACCAAAAAGTTTAATCTTATTCTCTATCAGAACTTTTTTTAATTTTTATTTTTAATATATCTTTATTGATTTCAGAGAGAGGAAGGGAGAGGGAGAGGAAGAGATAGAAACATCTATGATGACAGAGTCATCACTGATCAACTGCCTCCTGCAGGCCCCCAACTGGGGATCAAGTCCACAACCCGGGCATATGCCCTGACTGGGAATTGAACCGTGATCTACTAGATCCTAGGTCGATGCTCAACTACTAAGCCATGCCCGGCCGGTTGGAACTTTTTATTTAAATCCTCACCCTGAGGATATTTTTACCATTGCTTTTCAGAAAAGGTGGAAGGAGGAGGGAAAGAGGGAGAGGGAGAGGGGGAGAGGGGGAGAGGGGGAGAGAGAGAGAGAGAGAGAGAGAGAGAGAGAGAGAGAAACATCAATGTGAGAGAGACACATTGATGGGTTGCCTCCTGCATGCACCCTGGCCAGGGCCTGGGTTTAAGCCTATAACCAAGGTACGTGCCCTTGGCTGGAATTGAACTGGTACCCTTCAGTCTGCGGGCTGATGCTCTAATCACTGATGCAAACCGGCTAGGGATCTAGTGGAACTTTAAAAGACATTTATAACCCGGCTTAGTGTGGCTCAGCAGCTGAGCATCGACCTAGGATCCAGGAGATCGCGATTCGATTCCCACTCAGGGCATATGCCCAGGTTGCGGGCTCGATCCCCAGTCAGGGGACGTGCAGGAGGCAGCCCATCAATGATGACTCTCTCATCACTGATGTTTCAACTCTCTCTCTCCCTCTCCCTTCCGCTCTCTGAAACCAATAAAGGTATATTTCAAAAAATAAAATAAAAGACATTTACAATAAATTATTTATATGAAAGAAAAAGGGCAATTACTATATACATTTCAGAAATTAGCCTATAAATAGTATTACTGCTAGAAGCTACTCAATAAACAAACATGTTTATACATATATAGTAAACAAAAATTTGTGGTTATCAAGAAATACACTTATTTTCCTACAGCTATTTGACATGTAGCCTCTTCGTAAGATATAAACACAAATAACACTAATTCATTATCTTCTTGCATTCTTCAATAAACAGACAAAAATATTTTCATTTAACCATACCTTAACTATTTCTTCAATAAAACAAATGTGAGAAACAGGATCTCTCTTCTTGGCTAATATTTTTTGTAGATGTTGTACCTAAAAAGTTGAAGAGAAGGAGAATGTATAGAATTGAGTATTTTCAAATGAAACAAGTGTGCAGAAAAAGCAAAGGAAGGGAATTGGCATTTTGCCACAGCCTTTCCATACCCGATAATCAACTAATGTAGTTATTTTGAATGCTCAGAGATTTTAAGAAACCTGCCCATGGTCACACAACTTGAAACAACCAGGAGTTAATCCATAATTAATATATTTTCACTCTCTAAAATATTTACCTGTCCACAAACAGTACAAATATGATCCACAAGTTTTTCCATATTGGTCCAGAGGGAAGCACGAAAAGCTGCAGTATTTCCTGGGGTTGGCATGGTAGATCGTCCAGGTCCTCCTGTTTATATGAGACAAAGAAATATAAAAATAAAATTTCCAATTATAACAACTGTATGTTATTATTAAAAGCATATACAGCCAGGTGGCTCCGTTAGTTAGAGCAGCGTTGAGATACACCAAGGTTGTGGGTTTGATCGCTGGACAGGGCACATACAAGAATCAACCAGGTGGTTAAGAAGATGGCGGCATTGTGAGAAGCAGCAGAGTGCCGCTGCTCCCAGCCACGGACTCGATTTACTCCTAAAATTCTACACAACCAGCTTGGAAAAACCAGAGAAATATCCTGAGTGGACATATTGAGAGTAGGGAGCACTGAAGAAACATCATAGAGTCTGGTAAGAGAGGGGGATGTAGAAGGGGGAATCCCCAAAGCCTGTGCTGGGCTCCAAGCCCTGAGGGTTAGAGGCTGCAAAGCTCCTTCCCTTGGGAATGTGGACTGGCATCCAAGCAGGGATCTCACGCCTGGAGCTGAGGAGAGGGGAAGGAGCGCCCCGTGCAGAGGGCAGAGGGACCCAGGGGAACGGTGAGTCCACGAGGAGGGGAAGGTGCCTTCCTAGCGAAACAAAGCTCCTAAAATCAGTCTCAATTGCCTTCTTATGCACAGGCTGATGACCATGAAAAAGGCTGTCCCAAAGTGTGTGGCACCAGAGTTGAAAGGGACCAGAGGTCTGTACTCAGCTGCCACATACAGGAACCCTCTGCCTTCCTGTAAGGCACTATGTTGAGCCCCAGAAAGCATTTGATCTGTGTGGCACAAGGAAGGGGAAGAGAGCCCTCCCACCGCCAGAGATGGACTAGAGCTACCTGAGGGAGGAAATTTTCCTTCAGCCACCTGAGTGCTCCTTGGGGTAATTCTGGGATTTTTGACCAGCCCTGAGGGGTGCTGTGGTGGCACACATAGAGCTACCCCAGCTTTACTGAGATGAACAGTGCAGGGGAGCTCCACGGGGCTGACTTCGTGACCTCTCTGGCTTGATGACTAGGTGCAGGGATGGTGGGACCTTGCAGGGCGGAGTCTGTGCTTGTGTGTTACATTGTGCGTTTTGAGTTTTTTATTGCCGAACGTGCATCCACCTTCCTGGCTTACATTGGGGAGACTGACGAGCAGAAGCTAGGATTTGTGTCTGAATAGTGGAGTGTTTGAAATATTCACCCCGTTTGATGAGCCAACCAGATCTGGGAAAGGAGGGGTGGAACACGCCTACCTCTCCTCCAGGCTGGGAGCACCACCCCAAAAAGGAAACGGGCTGGTTCAGCTCACTAAAGCCCCAGATATCCCCCAAAGTGTACAGGCCTGAGGGGAAAGGGAAAACAGCTCACAGGAGGACATTACAAGAATAAGACTCTCAGGGACTATTGTTTGGGAACTGGAGGAAAAGCTGAAAACCACTGCCGGGGGCTGGGCAGGCAAAGTGCTCACAGAATTGTTCTTAACTGAACCCACTGAGCCCAGGCTGCTGAATCAGCCCATACAGAAAAGGCAAGAGACTGAATTCAATCTGAACCTGCAGAAGGCCACTGCATGGGGAACTAGAATTGGAGGATAGGGTAGAGACTGAGGAGCTGGCTTTGAAACAGAGACTAACTTCCCCACCCTGAGTACCTGAAAGCAAAACCTCTAATTAAAGGGAGAAATATCCTGAACTACACTAGCTGGCCTGCACCCTAAACATTCTTCAGAAGACTCTGCAGTTAGACCAAGCGATCACAAGGGGGAGGCAAAATAGCTGACAAGTGGAGGTGGGTCACAGAGAGCCTCAGATCAACCAACCAAGGACACCAAAGCCAAACCTGGACAGCTCCTGACATTGGCTGATACACAAGTACCTCCCAGGAGAACTGAAATCAGGGTACAAACAATGAGCTGCAGACAACATAAGCTGCCCAGATGAAACTCACCTGCTTGACTTTTTTTTCCTTAGGAAAAAAAGAGAAAAGAAAAAAATTTTTTCATTTCCTTAGGAAAAAAAGAGAAGAAAAAAAATTTTTCATTTTAAATTTTTCATTTTTTAATTCTTAAATTTTTAAATTAATTTTTAAAAAAACTTATTTTGCTTTGCTTTTTTCCTTTTTTTCACTTTGTTTTATCTTTTGTTCTAATTGTTTTATCTCTGCTTAATTGCTAGGACATGATCATTATAACCAATAAGTTTACCCCTTTTCTCTATAGTTTCCACTGTATCTCTTATGGGAATCCCTAAGTGCCCTTACTTTATCTCTTCCTCTCCCTTCTCTTTCCATTGGAATAACTTTTTTTTTTCTTTTTTTCCCTTTCTTTTCTTTTTCTCCCCTCCATATTCCTGTACTCTTGTTTGTTAGTTTCTGTTTATCTCTTTATTGTATTTTTATTTTTTCATTTTCAACAATTATCCTATTCCTGCAATCAACCCTTAATTTTTTCCTCACCCTTCCTTCAGAATCTTTTCCCTGATCCTATTATCTCCCAGGAGCTTCTTTATTCCTTACATTTTATTTCTCATTTGTTATTTTTTAGTTACTATGAGCAATAATATCCTTTTCTCTCTTTCTCTCTATTTCATTTTCTCTCTCTCTTTTTTTTTTCCCTTTCTTTAGCTTTAGCATTTGTGTTCTCACTTCATTATCCCAGTTCTGTTTCCACTTGGGATGTTTTCATTGTAATTGTCAGGGTATTTTGTTGGATACTGGCTTGTTTCCTGGCAGTTTGGTTGTGTATTGTATTGCCCTGCCAGCACCCATACAACAGCTCACACAATGAGGTTGGGGCTGAGACACACAATTAGCCAACCTGAGAGGACAGTCCTCCCAAGAACTGGTCAACAACATTCTAGACCCAATCGGAACAGAAGAGCCGAAAGAACCCACAAAAGGGACACCTACAAAAGGGACATGACTAGAGCAAAGAGCTGAGAAGTATAAGGAAAACACACCTCTGGGCTACACTCGACACACACTACAAAATCCCACCCCACAAGACTGGAGACTGCAAATATATCTAATATACAAATACAAACACTAAGAGCCACCAAAATGGGGAGAGAAAGAAACAAACCTCCCAACTAAAGAAAAGGAAAAATTGCCAGAAAAAAGACGTTGAGCAGATGGATTAAGAAAGTTATCAGAAACAGAATTCAGGGTAATGATTATAAAGATTCTCAAGGAAATTAATGAGAAAAAAAAGACACTTAATGGTAAGGTCCAGGACCTTAGTGAAAACATGAAAAAAGAGATAAATACCATAAATAAGAATCAGGCAGTAATGAAGACTACTATAACTGATATAAAAAATACACTGGAAGGAATTAAAAGCAGGCTCAATGAAGCAGAGGATAGAATAAGTGACTTAGAAGATAAGGTAGAAAAAAGTCAATCAAGAACAGCAAAAAGAAAAAACATTTTAAAAGCATGAGGACAGTCTAAGGGAGCTTTGGGACAACATGAGGAGAAACAACATTCGCATCATATGGGATACAAATGGGGAGGAAAGAGAGCAAGGGATAAAGAACTTGGTGGAGGAAATAATGACAGAAAACTTCCCTAGGCTGGTGAGGGAGAAAGCCACAGAAGTTTAGGAAGCACAGTGGGTTCCAAACAAGAGGGACCCAAAGAGATCCACTCCAAGACACATCATAATTAAAATGGCAAATGTCCAAAACAAACAGAGAATATTAAGGGCTGAAAGAGAGAGACAAGCCATGACTTATAAGGGAACCCCCATAAGACTGACATCAGACCTTTCAACAGAAACTCTTCAGGACAGAAGGGAGTGGGCATGAAGTTCTCAAAGTAATGAAAAGCAAGAACATGCAACCAAGATTGTTTTATCCAGCAAGGCCATCATTTAAAACCGAAGGTGAAATAAAGAATTTCCCAGACAAAAAAGGGCTGAAGGAGTAAAAGCAAACCAGCATTGTGAGAAATGCTAAAAGGACTGCTCTAAGAAAAAGAAGATATATTGAGAGAAAGGCACACGAGCATAAAGGGAGAAAATCACATTAAATAAGTATCTATCAATAGTAACTTTAAATGAAAACAGAATAAATGCTCCAATCAAAAGACACAGGGTAGCTGAATGGATTAGAAAACAGGACCCAAATATATGCTGTCTACGAGAACCACCTGAGAGCAAAAGATTCACACGGGCTAAAAGTGAAGGGACAGAAAAAATACTCCATGCAAATGGAAATGAAAAAAAAAAAAGCTGGAGTGGCAATACTTATTTCTGACAAAATAGACTTCAAAATAAAGATAATAAGAGACAAAGATGGTCACTACATGATACTAAAGGGACAATCCAACAGGAGGAAATAACCCTTATAAATGTATATGCACCCAATATAGGAGAACCTACATATATAAAAAATTTCTTGGTGGACTTTAAGGGGGAGATCAACAGCAACACAATCATAGTGGGGAATTTAACACCCCACTGTCAGCATTGAACAGATCATCAAGACAAAAAAATCAACAAGGAAACACAGAACTTAAATGAAACACTAGATTTAATGAATTTAATTGACATTTACAGAACATTTCACCCCAAAGTAGCAGAATACACATTCTTCTCAAGTTCACATGGAACATTCNAATTTAACACCCCACTGTCAGCATTGAACAGATCATCAAGACAAAAAAATCAACAAGGAAACACAGAACTTAAATGAAACACTAGATTTAATGAATTTAATTGACATTTACAGAACATTTCACCCCAAAGTAGCAGAATACACATTCTTCTCAAGTTCACATGGAACATTCTCAAAAATAGACAACAAAATAGGGCACAAGGCAAGTCCCTAGAAATTCACGAAGATTGAAATCATATCAAGCATCTATCTTCTCAGATCACAATGGCATAAAACTAGAAATCAACCACTATAAAAAAACTAAAAAATATTCAAACACACGGAGGCTAAACTGCACGTTATTAAACAATGAATGGGTTACCAATGAGATCAAGGAAGAAATCAAACACTTCCTGGAATAAAACAAAAATGAACAGACAACAACCCAAAATCT